TTGAATTTATATTAAGGCGAAACTCAGAACAAGTCTGATTATGCTCTTCAAATTTGTTCACTGGTCATCTTAAATATCACTAATAATAAAATTATAGTTTAAAAAACTAAAATCTCGCTATTAAAATTTCCATTCGTCCTATCATCAGGTTACTTTAAGAATGGAAGTTTAAAGCAATTCCCATTCGCACTGTCATCAGGTATGTAACTTGAGAATGAAATGCAGCTTTCCCATGGAATAACTTTTCTCAGAACCATTCCATCCGACTCTGAAGAACTTTGGATAATTGCTTACGGAGTAAATGATGGGAAATATAAGTAAATTCATATTATTATCCTTGCCGCACTCACATGCTTTGTTGCGCGCGTTTTTCCGTAATGAATTCAACAAAAAACTAAGATTCGAAATAGGATGAGGTTGGAAAGTCTTAATTCAATAGTTCGAATAAAGTTTTATATGAAGGCTAATAGTTTCTGCTGCAAAACGTTTCCAATATCAAACAGTATGTTATCAAGGTTGAATAGCTCAATATATGACAATAACATACATATAGGCGATTTTGAAGGAATTGTGGAAATAGCTGCTCTCGCCTTATTATAGGTTTTTATTTAATTTTAGCGCCGAGCTTTTAAAAGCGGATTTTGCGATTAATCAATTAATATGATTTAGTAATATAAATTTAGTTATTGCGCGGTCCTATTGCAAAACGTGTTGAAACAAATATTTTTAAAAAGTATGCGTATTTTTAAAGAAAATTATATAAGTGCTTTGTGTTATTTATTATTACCCTCTAAAAATATTATATTTTTTTAGTTTTTGAAACTATATTATAACAAGATCTCATTTTTAAAATAAAAGATTTGCTAAATCGATTTCATGAAATTTATTTAAAAAAAATTTTGATTTTTGGCGATTTTTTTTCAAAAATTGCGTTTTTTTTAACAATCTGGACACAATCTGGTTACAATGAAGTAAGCACAGCGTTAAGCATTGAATCGGTACAGAATTGAAAGAAACACCCATTTAAGTTACTCTTACCATTCTGTGATAAACAAGATGGAAAACCCCAACGAGAAAAACACTTCCTCTTCCGTTGAGCCTTGTTGTAAATGTCTTCTTAAACGAAGTTCCAGAAATAAGAAGTACTATTTCTACCCTAAAATATGTGGTACACTTTTTTCGCTAATCAATGACACACGTTTGTGTGAAACACAGAAAATGAAGGCAACCTTTTCCACAAGAAAGTCTGCGTGTAAATTGTGTGCTGCTATAACAACGCCGATGTTCATCATTGCTTTAATGACAATTGCTAAATATTCATAATTTCTGGAACCTTCAGGAAACATTTGGCAAATGAACACAATGGACCTCATCGCCGCCAGCCGATCAAGGAGTAGAAATTTCTCTTCCACGTTTGGCAGGTAAACAAAAAAAAAAACTGAAGTAACCCACATCTTTAATGAAAATGAGTACCGGCGACGGTCTATAATATTACCGTATCTGGATTCACTAACGGCCTCTTTACAACTATGCTTTTCCAATGAAAATACTCCACCCTTTTCGCTGTCTAGATTGCAACCATTGTATTCGATTAAATGTTCCAGTGAAAAGGTACAAACACCGTTTCCGTTTTGCGGAAATTTAAGCAAAATTTATTAATTTTTTCCTGCCTGTTAAAATGTCAAACTTTTCTCCATTTTCAAAAAGGATAAGTTTCCTCAAACATTCATTTTTGGCTATGAATGAATTTTCAATAAATTTTTAAATTTTATTTTTCCAGGAAATGTTGCTCTTCGCAACTCCCGATCCGCGGTCATTTTTCAAACCTCCGAGTGTTCTTCTGCTATGAAATCATTTCTCATAAAAACCATTTGCAGTTCGGACAAGATCAATATGCAGATTATGGCTAACCATAACTCGTTTTATGTTTGCATTCATAAAACTAGCGAAAGGGCAGCTAACTATGTATTATAGGAGTAGTTTTCAAATTAAGCAACTGTTAGACCATAAAATCCTTATTTTTGATGAGAAAACTGAGCCTTAGATTGTCTTTAAGTAAGTAATTACTTGCTTATTTTTACCTCGCTTTTATTGAACATGGAATGCTTGATGAATCAATGCTCAATACCTCAAATTAAAGTATTTTCGAAAAAAAAATTAGTTATATTATTTTATTACACTGTAAATACACTCAAAACTTCAACATTAGAAAAGTAGTTGAATACGACAATATATCTTAATATAGAAAGCTCTGCAAAATAAAGTATTTACAAAGTTTTTTTTTTGAAGTGGTGAATAAATGTCTCGATCTTTCTTCGCCCCGAAAATGCAACATGGCAGTGAAGAAAAACAGGCATTTAAATTAAATATTGGGATGAAATCACTACGGTTTAGCATATCCCACCCGTGACAAAAAAGTTTTAAACTTCGTATTGCTTAGTTACTACTTTAGTGATTTTTCTATAATCTCATAACTAGAGTGTGTTTATACTATGCAGCCCTATTTCATTTCTTTTATTATATTATAAGTGCCTACTTAAGAGATTTTGAAACGTTTTATCGTGCCCCGCCCGTGACAATCATTTATAATTTTTTTCTAATGGTGCCTAACAATAAAAAAATAAGTTTAACGTTTCAAACCTATGTTTAATGCCACAAAACTTTGAAGTTCAGGTTGATTAAACACCATAATACTGTTGATGGGCTAAGCGATGTAGTAAAAAATTTCGCGTGGCCAGCTCGAAAAGTCGATAAACATTACTATCATAGAGACGCCAGAGAATTCTATGATGAGGGTTGCTTAACAACAATCCAAAAGTCAATATTAACAACGAGAACGAAAAATGACACTGAAGATGGCACAACGCCGAAACCGGTTTGTCTCCAAACCAAATTTGACAAGGGATGACGGAAATTCGTTCCATAATACATCATACACCCACCCTGTCGGAAACAACAACAACCAAAAAGGAAAAATTAACAATTACCTCAAAAAGTTCCAACCAAGAAAATGTAGAAGTTCGCGAAACTTATAAATTCAGTCCAATAAATAGTCTTAAAGTGACAAAGATATATGTATCTGCTTACAAGTATTCTAATGCAGATAACTTTTCGGATTAGACATCGATACACAAGATCTTTTCTGACGTTCTATGGTTTCACCAAGGAATAGCTAAATTTGAGCCTGATTTGTCCATGAAATCATTTTCCAAAAATAACTCAACTCGAGCCACTCTTAGGCCGGTTACTCAGTGACTGGTTAACACTAACAGCACGTTAGACATCGCTATCGACGTGAAAAAAGTAGTCGATATCCATGTTTAACCTGTAGTTAGTATTAACCAGACATACATACATAGCTAGCCTAAACAAACTTGAAAATCATTAAGGCACATTCGAAATTTCGTTGCAATCAAATGCACCGTGCAGAAGTGCATTTGGAAAATGCATATAAAATTTCATGCGTTTGCAAATAATCCTTTCTCCCATGCATTTTAATACATCAATCTGGCGACTTCTAGCTGTCGTTTGGTATAACTATTGCCCCCTAAAATAGATCCTGGGGTCAGCAGTATATCGTGCGTTTACAATCACTCTACTCTGATAAAAGTAGGTCAACTGATCTTGTATTTGGCCTCTAACATTTATCATACCTAAGCTCTTTGATATGGATCTCACTAGAAGCTCCATTTCATGAAGAAAATCGTACGTGTCCCGCCCGTGACAAAAGTTGCCCACCCGTGACAGGAGACTTTTGAATTTATTAATAATAAACAACTGATTCTTGTTATGGTTTGTGCTTTGTTAGGATTGCTGGTTCTTTTCTGTATAGTAAAACATCTAATCCAGATAGAAATGTTAAATAAATTCACAGACTTTCCGTAAAATATATTTTCTCCAAGAAGCAGTGTCCTTTCTTTGTCCTACCCGTGACGGAAGAAACAGCTCAGAATTTTCCAATATAAAATCAAGTTGGAATATTTTTCGTATTTGGTAATAACTCCTATATTAGTGAACTAGGTGTAGCTTTATCAAAATGTAGAACTGCTTAGTACTTTATACTTAAATTTAAAAAAGAAAAACTATTTTTGCTGTACAAATGTCCCACCCGTGACGATGGAATACAAAAACAAAACTGACAAAACTGAGCCTTAGATTGTCTTTACTTACTTGCTTATTTTTAACTCGCTTTTATTAACTTGGGATGTAACTATGTAATATTGATGCGCCTAAAGACGCAGCGATTTCCATTCTCAAGTTACATACCTGATGACAGTACGAAAGGGAATTGCTTTAAACTTCCATTCTTAAAGTAACCTGATGACAGGACGAATGGAAATTATGGAAAACGAGTTTTAAGTTTTTTAAACCATATATATATATATTTTTTTCAATAACCAATTTACCAAGCTTGGAAAGAAAGGCCCAAATTAATTAAATAAGAGCAGAAAGACTTTCTGGACTATGCCTCATGAGCGTCCATTGAAAACTCGTTACCGAAAACCGCGAGGTGATTCAAAAGGAAATAATCGAAAAGTTTATTAGCGTGCTGAAAATCTTTATAAGCTTAAAAATGATTAAATAAAAAATATATAAAAAAAAATTAGCAAGTATATTTCGTTTTGCCCCCCTTTACATCAGATTCTGGCTACGCCCTTGCATCGATATATCGATGTTTTTCTGGCGATATATTTTAGCATCGATGTTCATTTCTCCGATGCATCGAAACATCGAATTATCGATGTTACTCCTCAAAATTGGCATCCCTACCCATAATATCTACGATGCAAGAATGATAGAATACAAGATTGCGCCGATCAGAGAGGATTTTTGAGCGTAATTTTTCGGTGACGTCACACTGGTGCAGCTGCGAGAGAGCAATGTCAAAACGCGAACAAGAATGCAAGAAGAAGAAGACATTTTGCACGAAAAACGTAAACAATACGAAAAAATTTATTCATAACACATTAAAATGGGAAAATTTATAGATATTAAGCATATATATTAGCTTTAATTAAAGATGAAAGCATTGTAGTGGTGTTGTGCATATAGTCTTTAGGGTAAGTATGAAAAATAATGTTGGGACAAATGTATGTGTTAAAAATGTTTGCCATTTCAGAATCAACGCTCCCACGAGTTAGTCGAAGATGAAATCTTTGAAAAGTATTATCAAAGGTATTCTAAATAATAATAATACAATCTAAATAATAATAATACAACTTCCGACGCGTACCTTGATGAAGGTGAGCAATTAGTGCGTGAGTCTGAGCACTTGCTGCAGACAATTGGCAGCGAAGCAAATGCCGCACTGCGCCAAGCCAACTCAGAGCTGGGTGCGTGTATAGACGAATTCCGTGAAATGTCGCTGCAGGTATCGAAGGATGTTAATCAATTGCAAGATACTGTGATGGCGTTGTTCCAAGCAAGTAGCTAGAGATTAATAGTTTAGTATAAACTTAATTCAGTACCTTATATTATTTTCAGGCGCGTTATAATCCCATTAAGATATGCGATTTTCTGCTAGAAAACTGTTTAGAGCCACTAATTTTGAAGCCAGTTTCATTGGACTACAGCGAAGAAAATCCCGAACATGTGCGATTGACACTTTCATACTCGTTAAAAGAAATGAGTCGAAGCTTACGTCCTTCCTACAAGAAAGTGGTTGAAAATATTAAGCTGGTTTTGAATTGTTTAGCCGACATAAATGTTTCAGTATCCAATGATCAACAAGTATTCTCCATTATCGGCGGTTTCCTATATCTTCACTAGAAAAGTGCTTCATGCACACGTAGCTCGATTTGGGATTCAATAATGCAAACCGGCAAAACTGCATCCACTTTCTGGCGAGAGCTTCGTCCGTAGGAAACGAAAAAAAGCTTATATCGCACGCTTGCCTATAGTTTTCACTATCACAATTTGCTACTGCGCACTTCATTTTGCCTTAGTATAAGTTTATAAAGTTTAAATAATCGCTTTGAATGCTTAAAATCTCGCAGAAATAACACACAAATAAATTGCTAAGTTCAAAATCAACAATTGCACCAGTGTGACGTCATACAAACAGCTGATTCTGTCAAATTCGTTAAGAGAAAAATAGACGGTACCGAGATCAGAGCGCTCAGTAAGCTATGGCATGTCGATCGCTGCGCCATGTGTGCTATGACATGCCCATACTTGTTTGTCTCAGTTTCAGTTTTGCTATCATCGCGAGTTGTTTCGGTGCGCGCATAGTTTAAAGTTTAATTAAAAATATAAAGTTTGATGCCAACCGGGGTTTTTCAGTGGATATATAATTCATTTGAATTATAATTTGAAAGTGTCTATTTAGCTAAGGAAAAAGCAAAGCAGTATACTTCCAGTATACTTCCATCGTTGTTTTTTAGGAAATTCTTACCAACATATACATATGTATTATTTACTTTAGTAACTAACTTATCTAAATATGTACGTATTTTTATGCTTAATATATGCAAATAAAAGAAGAAAGTAAACACAACAAACATCGAGTAAATTTTTATTTGTGTCAAACTGAAACTTTTTTCCTAATAATAAACGGTTAGCTGATAGCCCGAACACAATGAAAACGACGAGCTACAAACCACAGCTGTCAAATTATTTTAACACGTACTCTTATGTAGATAATTATTTTGGCGACGACCGGGCTACGCGACGGCTGTGGTTGTGGCCAGATTAGATCTATTTCTATTTTTCTGGCGACAGATAAGGTTCTTCCTCTTCTTTTATGTCAAACTTATACAAATTCATGATGTCGCTGCCGCGTTCAAAGAAATCATGTCGCCATCGACAAAGCGCTTAGATAATAAAGATGACAAATTGGAAGCTGTGGTCGGTAGCTCGTCGTTTTCAATGTGTTCAGAACTTGATTCAAGTCTACAGCAAGTTCACAAAATTAATTGAAAACTTGTATCAACCAAAGCATTGGTTATATTTGCTCAACAATGATTTTATTCAACTAACAATATTGTCCAATCAAGGTAGTCGTTTTGTAATTATTAACAAATATACATTTGTCCCAACTAGAAGTCTTAAGTAAATTGCAGACTTTCGTGAACAATATATTTATTTCGCCATATCCAACTATGCCACTTGATCACTATAACCAAATCTTGGTTATTATAACTAAACCTTTTTCTGGGTGTATTTCAGGAATGTAGGTACAATGTTTTTCTCGGCACCCTGCAATAAAAGTTAAATCGACGAAGTTCAAAAAATGGTCATCAAAATTTAAAATTTTTTAATTAGAATTTCTAGAAAAAATTTGGGGCGCAGTTTTATAGCCCATTCAATTTTAGTATGTAAATATAATCAGGCCCGTCGAGAGGGAGGTGGAAAAGGGGTGAATCTTCCCATACTCGGGCTTTTTAAGGTGCCTGAAATATCAGAACCACAACTTTTTATTATTTTTTTTTACAATATAATTGCTCCTTCATTATAGGCTTTTATTATTAAAATATTCCGATTCGTGCTAATTATTTCTGACTCTATACATTAAAGAAAATGATAACATGCTTTTGAATTAATATAATTTATGTACCTATAGGGGCCTTTGATTTTTCAGTCCGGGGCCCGAGTTTTCTCTCGACGGCCCTGTATATAATATTGAGCGAGTTTGAGTTAACTCGAAAGCTCGTTGATTTTTGTTAATTTATTTCGCTTACTATTATTAAATGTTTACTTCCATCCAAAGTAGGTTGCATTTTTTTTGTATGGGAGAAAATGAGCGACGCCGCACAGTGGGTTGAACGGTATGCAAAGTGGCGATTAATTCAGGGAAGCCGTAATTTTAAAATATTATTATTTTTTATTGATGGTTATTCATAAATACATAAAAAAACATAATTAAAAAAAAAAATAATAAAAAAAAATTTTTTTTTAATCTTTTATGGGCTTTTTTGTATTTTGGAAAAAAAGGTCTTATTTCACAATTTTCGCTATAAGTTTGGAAAGAAAAACGATAAATTAGTAAATGCAATTGAAAATTAGAGCTTACTTAACGTGCTTTTAGAAAAAAATTGTGTTTTTGAAAAATATAAATTAATAAATATTTAATATGTATTTAAATTAGCAAAATTTTAAATTAAAATCCGATTTTTTTTTTCTTCAAATTCCATAATTCCACAAATTTAAAAAAGTTACATTAGAAAATATTATTATTTCTTATTGACAAATATTCATAAACAAAATATAAAAATAAAACAAACAACCATTGCAGGAAAAAAATATTTAAAAAAAAAAACATAATTGTAAGGTATTTTTATTTACTTCATTTCATTAATTTGAAAAGTATTATATACTTCATAATCATCATTTACTTCGTAATCATCATTTACTTCATAATCATCATAAAATTAGTTTACTTCATAATCATCATTTACTTCATAATCATGGTAAAATTCGTTAAAATAATCTTAATCTTCATCATATTCATCATCTTCATCTTCTTCGTCACCATTATCATTTTCGTTTTGGGGAAGAACAAGTAACTCCAATGCAGACTGCGGCATTTGCTCTTTATTCTTTTTACAACTCTTCAAATTGCTTGAAATAAATGAAATAAAATCTACCTTATCTGAAGGATCAACTCGTGTGATTAATTCCCACCTCAGAAGATTAAATCGATCTTGAAGTGATTTAGGTTCTAAATTCTTCATAAAGTTATGTAACTCATGGCGAGAAATAAAAATTGTTTTGGGACTTGTTCCTGAAATTAGTAAAATTTTTTACTTAAGTTTAAAATTTACAAAATACTATTCGTTTTCCCTTGTACCGAATAATTTACAAACACACAACACTTTCAATAAATAACATCGCATTAAACAAAACATTGAGAGTCAATACAAAAAATAAATGACAACCAAGATGACAACAGTACTCGTATGTTCGCATGTATGTACATGACCAACATTTATCACGTAGGGTAGAGATGGAAGCGTGACTAAATTTATTTTTATAGTGACTAAGCTCTAAGCATTTATGCACTAAGCTTTAATAAAATAAATATTAACTATTTACGACATAATTTCTCGCTCGTGAGTGAAATTCAAACTTGTGATGTCAGAAAATATGTGAAAAATTTTATTCGTTGTGAATAAACCGGAATTAATTTTTTTTTCGTGAGTGCGCGTGGTTTAAAATTAGTCACGCACCCATCTCTAATAAACTGCACACTCTGTAGCTTCAATAACAACTACTAAACGGAATATAAAGACAAAAGACAATAAAAACAACGCGCTTTTTTGTTTGTTTTTTTTTCACTTAGATTTTTTGCAACTGGAGTTCTTTTA